GCTTGCCCCAGAATATCCCTGCCCCCCACAGTGTTGGGGTTATGGAAACATAGTGCCATACCCAACTTTCTTTTTTTAACATAGTTTTTTAAAATATGATTGAATAGTAAGCACTTTATCTACCAAGCCATCACCCCAACCATAATATTTGCTTTCAAAAAGAATGGTTTGTTTGTTTGCTTTGTTTGTTTTTTGAGACGAGGTCTCACTATGTAGCTCTGGCTGTCCTGGAACTCACTGTATAGACCTGGCTGATCTCACATTCAGAGATCTGCTTGTCTCTGTCTCCCAAGTGCTGGGATTAAAGGTGTGCACCATTACACCCATTTTTCAAAAAAGCTTTTAAAAACTGTACATGAAAGGGATTGGAGAGATGGCTCAGCAGTAAAGAGCATTTGCTTCTCTTCCAGAGGATCCTAGTTCAGTTCCCAGCATCCTCCCAGGGCAGCTCACAACTGCCTAGAACTGTAGCTCTAGGGGATCTGACACCCTCTTTTAGCTGCTGCAAATACCCCCACAAATGTGCACATGCACCCCACACATGTGCATGTACTTTCACAGGCAACACATACGTGCACATAAAAATAAATTTAAAAATCTTACATGTACATGAAAGTGTTGCTAATATAAAACACTCCCATATCCATGTACCCATTTCTTGACTTTAAAATAATAAACTATAGTGCTGGAGAGATGGCTCAGCAGTTGAGTCCATGCTGCTCTTTTAGAGGATCTGAGTTCATTTCCCAGCACCTATATTAGGTAGCTCACAACTGTCTAATTAACTCCAGCTCCAGGAAAAGCTCTGGCCTCCGCATGTACCTGCACTCATGTGCACACAGATGCAGGCACACACACACAGTCATGCACACACACAGTTTAAAGATAGAATCAACCCCTTGTGAATCCTCAATTCTCCTCCTTTAATTTCTTTTCAGAAGTAATAGTTATCCTTGATTTGTTGCCAATAATTCCCACGCATGTCTTATGTTTTATTTTATGTGTATGGAGTTTTGCCTGTACCTGTATCTGTGCTTCTCTTGTGTGCAGTGCACATGGTGGCCGGAAGAGGTCCTTGGACCCCTTGAATCTAGAGTTATAGACAGTTGTGATTGCTGGGAATTGAGCTCCTAGGTTCCCTGGAAAAGTAGCCATTGCTTTTAACTACTGAGCCATCTCTCTAGCCCCATGTTTTATATTTTAATTATCCATTGATGTAAGTATAAATGATACTGCTTTATACGTGAGTGTATGTGTAATGAAACAGACTTTATTTTTAGCAGTTTTAAACAATTCCAGTAATAATTTGACTATATTTGTGTAACTTTTTTTTTTTTCAGTAAATGTTTTTGTTTTTTTTTCAGTTAATGTCATGCTTTGTTAAAGTCAGCCATGTTGATAGGTGTGGTGGTGTTACTGCCTCAGGGCGTTCACTCTTCAAATACTGTATTCTTGGAATTCTCTCCTGGTAGTGGGCATCTCAGGTGTTGCCAGTATTTTCCCATGACCTTTAAAGAACAGACACCACAGGCCTGGACATTCTTGTTCATGTCTCTTGAAGCAGTCGTGAACTTAAAATGCCAAAATTTAATTTTTAATCCATCATTTATGTTGGTCTTTAAGACTGATTAAATTTCTGCATTTAGCTTGGCAGTGAGGCACGCTTGTAATCCCAGTACTCCCGGAGGCAGAGACAGGTAGATCTCTCTGAGTTGCCAGCTGTTGGTGCACAGAGAAACCTTGTCTCCAAAAACAAACAAACAAACAAACAAACAAACAAACAAACAAACAAGCAGAAAATCTGCATTTATGTGGGTCCGTTTTCTTAGCCGCAAGAGCAAACCTGTAATCGCCAGTGTTCTTTCCAGGTCTGTGTGGTTCTGTGGTCCTATTTTCTCTCCTGCCTTCTTACAGTGAATAACATGAATCAATTGTGAGCAGCCACCTAGCATAAGAATCATTCAGAAAAAATAAATGTCGAAATAAAAATGGCCTTCAGTTCCTTGATCATGTTTTCTTACAATTTGTTTCCTGTGTTATCTGAATAGATAAATACTAATGGGGAAGCCAAGTCTTTTTTTTTTTTTTTTCAAATCTTATTGGGTGTATTTGAGTAGCACAGTCAACTGTGGAGTCTGATGTCCCAAGGTAGATGTTGGTTTGAGTTCCCAGCTGGGTGAGCCGCACATATCTGTGGGTGGGTCATAGAATGCTCATGAGTCAGGGTGACACAAAGCTGTCATTTTGAACACTAATTATTGTATTACTCGCTGCCAAAACCTGATGCTCCTTAAAAGTCTATTGAAATAGGAAGAGCCTTTTGACCCTAAATATAGCTACCCCCTTCTGAAAGCTCTGTTTTTTGTTTTGTTTTGTTTTTTTGAGATGTAGTAGTCCTCTTTAATGCTATTCTTTCAGATTTTGTATTTTATCCATGTGTAAAGAGATTAGAGGCATGTGCCGCCAGGTTCAAGTCCTTGCTTCATATAAGATCGCTCACAACCACCTGTAATTCCAGCTTCAGGGACTCCAGCACCTCTGGCCTCCGCACACACTTAAACCTACATACATATATGCACGCACATATTTAAAAATAATTATAATTTTTTGAACGTTAATTTCAAGAAACATTTGTTAAATGCCTACTGAGTGTTAGGCATTGTTCTTGAAGTGGGGACCAAAAGGAGATGAAGGGTAGAGCAAGTTTTTGTTTTGTTTTGTTTTATTTTATTATGCTCTTGAGCTTTGTGTGTGTGCATTGTGTTCGGGGGGGGGGTGTCTGTTTGTAGGGACAAACTACCATGCCCATGCACAGAGTCAAAGGACAACTTTAAGAAATTAATTTTTTCCTTCTACTGTGGGATCTAGGATTGAACTCAGGTTGACAAGTGCTTTTCTTACCCACTGAGTCACCTTTCTGTTCAAAAGAGGATTTCTGTAGGGTCATTTGTTACACTGAATTTGGGGTTATTTGAAACAGTCGGATCATAATAAAAACTGGCACTTGCACCTGAAACAAGTGGGGGCAGACATAGGCGCCGTGGGATGCTGGCAGTAATAGTCATTCTTCACTGCTAAGTTTGGCTTACATTACCGATGGCCCTGCAGTGCCAGCTACTGTAGAGGAAGAAACATGAGCCTGGTAACTTCAGAACACTGCTATCAGGTTGTATTTGCTCACAGTCCAAGGCCATTAGTTGAGAGAAAAGAATGATTAAGAGGCTAGTTTGTTAGATCAGCTTTGGTGGGATTTTTTTTTTCTTTTTTTTTTTTTTTTTTGTCTGTTTCCAAATGCAGAAAGTTACGAAGGCTCCCTCATGGAAAAGTACCATCCAGGGAAGAGGGTGCAATCCAGTTGGTTTATATATATGCATTACTGAAAGCTGGAGCTGGGAAACAGTCTTTTTGAATGTTTCCCCCCTCCCTCTGAAGAAGTATTACACATGGCTGTGTGAGGCCTATGCACACTCCAAATGCTGCAGTTGCTGTTGGAGACCGTTTATAGGACACACTGTTTATATATGTTCTTGAAAAGTATTGGAAACTGAGTTTAGCATACAAGCTAAAAGAATGGAAAAAAACTAAATACAGCTGAGTGGCCAGATGAGGGGGCTTTAGTAAATCGCCACCCAGTTCTCTGATCTCCACAGAAGCCCTCATTCGTGGGGCTGGAGCTGTAGCTCAGCTGGTAGAGTGCTTAGCTAGCATGTAAAAAGCCCTCAGTTTCTGTGGCTGGCAGATGGCTCCGTGCTTAAGAGCACTTGAGGCTCTTGCAGAGAATCTGGGTTCAGTTCTCAGCACCCACATGGCAGCTCACAACTATCTGTAACTCCAGTTTCTGCCGATCTTGGTGTCCTTTCCTGGCCTCTGTGGGCTCCAAGTGTGCATGTGATACATAGATGTACATGCAGGTAAACACAGAAATAAACAAATTAAAAAAAAAAAAAAAAAGCCCTTCGATTCCCAGTACTGCATAAGCGGTGGAGTGATAGCCATGAGTGCAATTTCAGCACCTGGAAGGTAGAGGCAGAAAGATCAATTCAGGGTCACCCTCAGCTACATAGTGATTTGAGGCCAGGCTTAGCTAATGAGACCCTGTCTCAAATGTTTTTTCTTTATTCCTGATGAAGCATGTGATAAGTCAAGGGCTTTGGTCCTTTGTGATAAGGCCCTAAGTAAGTTCTTGGGGATAGATAGGTGAGATGTCAAACCTCTGAAGTGCCAAAGTTCGAAACCACCCCCCAGGACTGCTGAGCTTTGGATTTAAGCTCAAATTACACAGGGAGCTTTGAATATCACTGGTGACCAGCTAGGTCAGTCTCAGAGGATTGGGAAGGAGGCAGTCCTAGCCAAGGGAAGTTTTTTTTGTTGTTCTGTCTGAAATTCCAAAATGTGACCAGGGCTAAAAACCATTCTAGCTATTTCAGTTTCAGGCAGTAATCCTCAGGGAATGTTAATTAAGATGTATATGAAGTCCCTGCTAACTGTATGAAATAGAATAAACTTTCCCTTCCTCACCACCAAATGGGCAGAGTCTCATTTTATTTTTTCTGAAGTGTGTAGGTTCTGACAAAATAAATAAGGAGAAGGAAAGAAAATTGTTTTAAAGAGAGGCTCCCCGGCCCTCTGTAGGAAAAGGTTGGTGCATGCGACTCAAAGTATTGTGTATATATTTCAGGAAGGAGAAAATATGTTATGTTCTCAGTACTTCTGAATTATGTAACTTTGCAGGATGTGGTCCATTTGTACCCAAATAATGAGGCCTGTAATCCTGCATTTCACATGTGTGGGAATGCTTTGCAGAGTGATTAGCATTCCTTTCTCCAGCTCGCATTCAGAGGAAACATGCCACTCACACCCTCTGTGTGCTCACATTTTCCAGTGCGTTGGAGAGCCTTTTTTTTTTTTTTTTTCAATAGAAATCTTTGTTCCTTCCCTTCCCTAATAAGACTTGGGTTGAATTTGAGGAACTTAGCATATCCTTCTTTGTTTTCTGGCAGGAATTGATTTTAAAATCAGAACCATAGAGCTCGATGGAAAGAAAATTAAACTTCAGATATGGTAAGTAAAAAAAATGAAGACACATGGAATTTCTACTTGAATTTGGAACTGTAAGTGGGTTAAAACTTGATTCAGGACATTAGAGGCATCATCTAATTGCTCAGCCCTTTCCTTTGTAAAAACCAGGAGGGAAGGAGTAAACGCTGTGCCTCCTCTACATTGGAATGGGGAAGTGAGGAGCAGAAACTGACCCAGAAGAGGTTCAGAGCCTTTTCTACGCTCTTTACAAGAAAAAAACAGATTCTAAAAACTGTAAATTTCTTCTTTGTAGCTGCAGCTGTGACTGACACAACAAAAATGGCACAGACCACGGCTGAAAGTCAGGCCTAACTTCTAGCCACAACATTCTAAATTAAGGAGTTTGGGGAAATTGCTTGCTTTCTGTCCATCACTAACATAGAATACTTGAGGCACTGTGTTTATAAAGAGAAATGGTTTGCTTTGGCTCACAGTTGGTCCTAGATTAGGTGATCCCAAACCCATTAGGTTTGGGTTTCTGATGAGGTGCTGGATGGCGCTGTTAGGGTGTGCATGGCAGAGCAAGGAAGGAAGGGCCCAGGGCCCTACAACCCCCTTGACGAACATGTTCCCGGCGACCTAAGGACTTCCCACTAAGCCCAGCCCCCTGAAGCTTCCACCACTTTCCAATACCACCTCCCCAAAACCAAGCCTTTAAGATGTGGCCTTTTGCGGAAACTTCTCCAAACCATTGCACCTTCTCAGGCTCTGCTTTTTCTTACCTGTAAATTAACTGAATTGCTGAGATTGGAAGGTTCTCTATAATTCTGATATTTTTATAATTTATCAAGTAGAGCCTATTTAACTGAGAAATAAGGGGGAAAACAAATAATACCTTGTCTTGATTCAGGCTACTGTGAATTTTTAAACAATTAAAAATGCGAACATTTTTGATACCAAATATCTGTGGGATTCCCCTCCGCCCCATCCCAGGCAGTCCTCTAAATGACACCACATGGGCGTTCTGTAACTCACTTCAGTTCTGGCACTGTCCACCTAGAGATGGCACCAGATATCACAGGTGAAGGCACAGGTCCACAGTCCCATACTGTGGCTGCTGCTCACAGGGAGGAAGTTGGCATCTATTGCTGTCTCACACACTCTTGTTCTATCACAAGAGAAACACAGTCATCTTTTTTTTTATTGTGTGTGTGTGTGTGTGTGTGTGTGCGCGTGCATGTGTGTAGTTTCTAAATTTGAATCCGGGAAAGATGATCAATCTACTCAAAGGTACTTGGCTTCTGTGTTCCTTCTTGTTTACTAAGCACAAAATAAGTTCCCCACATATTTTATGCTGGTATGAAAGAGAATAACAAGATTCAGGTTTGGTGTCAGTCTCATTCTGGTGCCCAACACCTGAGACCTGCAGTCCGTGAGTCTCGCTCAAGGCTATGAGCTGTTTAGTAGCAGAGATGGGACCACAGCTCTCCTTAGCCAGTTCCATCTTTTGCGGAGTAAAGATGACAGTATCACTCACCTCATGCTGGGCTGTGGTGAGCATCACGTGAGCACTGGCAGAAGTATTTTTGTAAAGTAAATACAGAGATTAAGGCATTTTCTGCTTAATTGACCATATTTCCTTTGAACCTTTATCCCTTGGTAGGGTTTACTATGTATTAGATTTTCAGTATATTTCCATAGCTCTCCTCTTTTCTTTGCAATTAAAATATAATTGAATTTAGTTTATCTTAGTATCGCAGGAAGTGAATTAGTTCTAGCTATAAATGGCAACTTTAAAATAGTGACTTTTTTTTTCCCATTTACGAAGGAAATTTGGCTTCTTTCATAGGATTGAGGGTATAAATTTAATTAGAACTCCCTCTTTTGGAGAGAGAAAGAATGAGGGGGGAGTATGTGTGTTCCCCCTCACACAGTCCTGGATTGGTGTTAGAGACAGAACATAGGGCCTTGCTGGGCAAGTGCCCTATTGCTGAGCCACACTCCCATCCTATAATAGGTATGTTTTAGTGGTATGTCATTAGCGCAAAAGGTAGAAAATAGGTGAAAGATTATGTAATCTTGAGGTGTTTATATTTAGTCTTTGGAAACTTGGAGAATGATGTTGGAGTCCTTGTTCCTGTGTAACTAACTACAGGCTCTGCTCTGAAAGTGTTCTGGGAAAGACATGTTTTGTTCTGCTCTACTGAGCAGAATGTACACAGTAGTAAGTCAGGTTCAGCAGTTTGCTTTGTGCAGAAATCACACATGCAGTCAAGAAAGCAAAATGCCTTAATCATGTAACACTTCTAGAAAGGATTATTGCTGCCTCTGGGAGTTCAAGAATTTAGAATTATTGTTTCCTCCCACATTGCCAGTTCCTAGTAGGACCTGTGTATTTCCTCATTGCTGCTTTTACCAACAAGTCCAAGTTTTTCATCCAAGTCATTGTGAGTTCTGACAGGCTCCTATGGCCATTCCTACCTCCAGCTCCCAAGGTCCCTGGTGCTGCCTTTGTGCCTCATTGTCCTTCTTTCTGCCACCACTGCACTGTGAGCAGACTTGGGGTCCTCACCCATGTCACTGGTAACTTAAAAATCACTCTTTCCTTCCTTTGTTTCAAATTTTAGGGACACAGCAGGACAGGAAAGATTCCGAACAATTACAACAGCATACTATAGAGGAGCCATGGTAAGTGTGTTTCGGGGTTTCTAACCCTTTAGGTGAAAATAAAACGGGTATTTGTTGCCTATATGGAGTTATGGAGCTGGACCACTGCATTCAGCATGGCCAGCTTGCTTCTGGAACCCTGATGGGGCAAATGAGGAAAGGACAGGCACATGGAAACACATACAGACAAGCTGGGATCCAGCTTTGCTTGCTTTGGTGGAAGAGCACTTACACATACCATCTCAGCACTGATTACCCTGACTGCATGCAGAAGAGGTAGAGGGGCACTTGTCTACACAGAAGATCTCTTCAGGGGAGCAGTTCAGGCAGTAGATACATCTGGGATGAGGAAGCTGCAGTCTCCATTGATGCTTCCTGTACACTTGGTAGGCAGAATTTCATAATTGCAGAATTTAAATGCCGATTTCTGTATCCTCCTCCCGTATCTGGTTGCAAACCTTGTTCTGAGAATCTCCCGTCTCAGTGTTGTGTAAACATTGCTTCTCAGTTGTCTCCTGATATGCCAGTTAAGCCGCTTACAGCCAGTCACTGAGCAGGGGAAAGAATAGGGGTGGACTTCCTGCCAGCCAGGGGAGGAGGAGTTAGAGGAGGAAGTAAGGGATTCAGTCAGCCACAGATGTCCAGGAGGGACCAGGAGAGAGAGCTTAGCAAGAAAAGCTACAAAGTGCAAGTATTTCTGGAATATAGCAAATTAGCATAGAGGGTTAAGAATGGATTAAGAATTGCTCATTTCTTATGCTGTGAAGCTTGTTAAAATAATATACTAGAGTCTCAATTATTTGTGTGATAGCCGGGTTAAGAGAGAAACTGAGAAACAAATGTACTTTTATAAAAATAACTTTAATATGGGGCACCATCTGTAGGCCTAGATCTTTCAAGCACGTACTTTGTTTAAGGCCCTTAAACACCCCTACCTCCCTTCCATCCCCCACATTAGGTAGGAGATTAGTAGGGAAAGGGGCTGCAGGCCTCTTTTACTGCTTCCTGCTGCTCAGGGTCACTGGACACCAGCAGTCCAGTTAAAGCAGGGCAGCAGCCACAGCAGTGTACTACTCTACTGCTCAGCAGAAGTGGAACGGCAGGGCCCTCCGCCAGAGCAGCAAGAAAACTTCTCTGGAGCACTCCCTCTGCGAAGACCAGCAAAGTGATGCAGACCATTCCAAAATGGAGAGATGCAAAAAGTGCTGTCTCACTGTGGGCTTCTGTTTATCCCTTCTCGGAGTCCACTTGAGGGTGTTTTCCAGCTCACAAAAACCATGTTCCTCACACGAGGTAGTTTCCAGCTGACAAAAATCACATGCCTTGTTATAGGGGCTGTTTTCCACAGGGGAAAAAACATTCCCACCTCTCACACTTGGGACCAGAACAAAAAAAATATTCACATGACACAGCTAAGTTTCCAAAGAAACCAGAAACTCCACTTTGACACTCTGTCTACATTTGTACACAGACCAGAGAAAGGCTTTGTCTGTTTTGGCTTTGTCTGTTCCCTGAGCCTGACCTGGGGAAGGCTTGCCCATTCCCTGAGCCTGACCTAGGGAAGGCTTGCTTACTCTATGGGTCTGGCCTGGGGAAGGCTTGCCCATTCCCTGAGCCTGGTTTGGGGAAGGCTTGCCCTTTCCCTGAGCCTGAGCTGGGGAAGGCTTGCTTACTCTGGGTCTGGCCTGGGGAAGGCTTGCCCTTTCTGTGAGCCTGACCTGGGGAAGGCTTTGCTAATTCCCATGAGTCCAAGGCATTGCTGTCCTTATCAATAATACCCATTCAGCCAGGACTTCATTCCATCCTTACAAAGTCATTAAGGCCTTTCTCTCCTCTTTACATAGTAAAGTGAAGGAAAAGAAATTTTTAAATGTGAAAACAAAGACATTTTAAGGATTTTTTTAAACTGTATTTTTTATTATCTATTAGTCTTTATAATAAGTAATTAGGCCATTAGCTCTTAGATAGTCTAGAACTCCTCCACAGTGGCTGAGGAACTTTTACAGTTTTGTGATTTTTTTTTCTTTTTTTTTTGTTTTGTTTTTTGTCTTTTGAGACGGGTCTTCTCTATGTATGTAGCGTTGGCATCCTGGACTCAATTTTAGACCAGGCTGACCTTGAACTCACAGAGATCTGCCTGCCTCTGCCTCCCTGAAAGCTGGGATTACAGATGTGCCACCATGCCCAGCCCTTTTTTCCTTTTAAGAAAAGTACTAATAGTACTTGATGACAGTCTTAGCAAACCCCAGACCTGTGACTAGGTGTTCATTTCTTCTTTTCTTTAGTCCCTCAGCACTGTAGCCATTTCACCCTGTCTCTTTCTCCACCCCTGCAACCTAGCCTTGCACATGGCTCATCTTTTTGGAGTCTCCCTGAGTGGCTAGGAAGTGACTGAATAATTCATAACTCAGGGACCTTGGCCCTCCTTGGCTACTCCTGGCTATGTCCTTATAGGCATAGCTCCATTGCAGGTTGTTTTCTGTCCTTACGTGCTTCTCTAATGGATTTATAGTGCCTGTTGGCTCTGGGCAGGTCTTCTGTGCTGCTTGGAGTAGAGGTGGATGTGCAACTCGGAATGAGAGGTGTGTGGCTTGTGCCTGGGCTGGAAGGCCCAGGATAGAGCTTCATTGCTAGCTTTTAGGCCAGAGTCTGGGGATGTAGCTCAGGGGCAGAATGTGTGTATAACATTCTTGGTGTTAAAACTCTAGCACTAGAAACCAAATAAGTTAAGTAGACATATGCCAAGCCCAAGTTTGAGCTTTGAATTTTGATGAAACCTGGTATGCTCAAACAGTCTTTGAAAGTTAAACCATTGAATTTATGGAGGTCCTGGTAGGTTGCAAGGCACAGCTCTTGTGACTCTTGTAGTCCTGGGAATGACATAGGGTAACAGAGCTGAAGGGGTAATGGCTATCCTTTTCATCCAGGAAGCGGTGACCTGGATCCGCAGGTTCATCCACTCCCCCTTGTCCACCATTATTTGAGTTTTCGTATTTAATCTACCATCAGATTGAAGATCCAGCCCAGGCACAAGCCACACACCTCTCACACCTCCTTGTCCTTCCTGTTACCTCATGTGATTACAGATCATTGCTACTCAGGATGGTATCAGCTTGTCCATTCTGAAGGTAGGGACTGTGCTTTTCTTCTCTCTTTGCTTTGCTGTGTACAGGGCTGGTTCCTAGCATAGTAGATACTTGGTAAATACTCACTGACATGTAAATCAGTGGAAGACTTCAGGAAACACTGTTCCACTCAAGTCTTGGCTCTCTCAGGCTCTGTTACAGTGAGCTGTGGGCTGTTGTATTTACATGTAGTATGCTTGTTTCCTGTAGGTGGTGGTCATGGAAGCTTTGGTTGGTTGGATCAGTCATGCAGCATTCTTCTAGAGTATATGTAGATTTCTTAATTTTGTTTTAAACATGTCAGCAACTTTATAGGCTTCACAGTAAACGCTGATTGGACAATTAGGCTGAAAGGGAAAGAAGGACCATATCATTACATCATTGTTATTTCTCATAGTCTAGCGACTTCTGAATTCTTAGGCAATAGTTCTCACTGTAGACTATGGTAGATCTATAAAGTTTAACTAGTGTAATTGATTTTTATTTCTAACAGATCCATATTAATATTAGTTACCTTACAAACATAGGAAATAGTAAAATGGCTTTTGCTGTTGAAATCAAAGAGGTGAGTTGGTAATATATAGCTGCTGTTTGTTGAGTACAAGTTCTGTTCTTGGTTAAGTAGTTTACAAATAACATCTCATTAGATCCTCAGAACAGCTTCACACTGGAGACTGAGAAAGCTCAAATACTGCCTTCAAGAGTCTCCCTGTTAAATACATAGTAGTGTCTGAGCTAGAAGCCTCTGCCCCCCACACCATGCTGTGCTGACAAAGGGACGGGACATTTGAGGCAGACAGGGCACATGAATGATAGAGCTTCATCATTTAGCCCAAAGTATAATAGTGCTTTAGTGATTATTTGCTTAATTTGAGCTGTAGGTAGCTAAATATTCTGCATCAGTAATTATTTTTGTATTGTGATAAATTATAGGTAGCATACAACTTAAACACTTTCATTTAAAATGTGCAGTTTTCCACTTAAATTACATTAAAAAACTTAAAATTAAAAAACAAACAAATGTGTACAGTGTATAGCCAAAGTGAAATATGCATTTGTGGCAAGGAGGGTTGGGGTAGAGAGGAGACTATTACTTGTCATTTAAACAATAACACACCTTTACTCCCAGCACTCATGAGGCAGAGGCAGATAGATCTCTATGAGTTCAAGGTCAGCCAAGGCTACATAGTGAGACTCTGTCTCAAAAAAAGAAAAAAAAAAAAAAAACAATTCTTTTTCCCTAGCTATTAAAAAGTAGATATAGGGCCTGGAGAGATAGGACCCGGGTTCAATTCCCAGAACCCACATGGCAGCTCATAACTGTCTGTAGCTTCAGTTCCAGAGGATCGGAAACCCCCACATAGACATACATAAAGGCAAAACACCAATGCACATAAAATAAACAAATAAATAAATAAATCTTTTTTTAAGTGGTATAAAAAAAGCTTTAAGAATTCTAAGAAATCATCCCAAACCTTATTACCCTGAGAGATAACTCAACATTTTCTATTTTCTGGCTTTTTTGTCTAATATGTTTTATGTGATTTGTGTATATTTGCAAGGTTGGAAGGCAGCCTGTGCAGGACTTTGCCTCCCGCTCTGTGGAATTTAATTTTGAGAACAGTGGAGGTACTGCAAATGTTTGAGCATTGAATTGACCAGGTGCCTACAGAGAAGAGACGCCAGGAGGTTCAGAGTGAAAGTAGGAAGCCAGCTGGAGACTGGGCCAGCAGCTCCAGGAAAGCTAATCGAGCAGAATCTAATAAGCTAGTGCAGGAGAAGAGGTTAGGCTCTGAAAATAGTGAGTCATGGGATCTCCGGGACCCAAGGACTAGCTGTGAGGGAAACACCCTCTTAGCCGTGAGGTGTTTGCACAGGCTGCCTGGGTTTTATTGCCTTTACCACATGACCATACAGGAAAAGCAGAAGATTTGAGAGGGATGCAAAATCTTTTCCTTTACTTATGAGAATGAGAATTTGTGTTGACTATAGGAGATAACTAACAGCTGGTGTCTAGACAGTGTTCCCTGAAGGACATCTGACCTTGTCTGCCTTCTGGAACCCATCTTGTCCTTCTTCCCAATACATCTGTGCATCTTGCTATGCTTTCTTTGAGTCAGTTGAGTACACCCTGGACCTTCAGTAACAGAAAGCTACTGATCCTTTTTCCCCTCATGTGGCAGGCACTGCGGGCTTCCCTCTTCATCAGTCCCAGCCCTGTTGTCAGTTAACTCTACTCTGTCTTCTTGCCTTGGCTTTACTCATGTTCTTAGAGAAACTGTCCCTCAGCACTTGACCAGAAAAGATTACGTTCCTGGTGTTTTAGTTCAAAGCTCCCCATGTTTCTTTGTAACAATGATCAGAATTCTAGTCAATTGTATATGTCTGTTGTCTTTGCTGGCTGTTCATGAAAAGAAGGGACCCTGGTTTTCTTGTTCACTGCTCATAGTACCTAGTACAAGTATAGTATTTGGCATGTAGTAGATACTTAACCAATTTTTCGGAGTTGGAAGGATTTTTTAGTGGTGTGTGTGAAAACTTTAGATAGAATTTTACTAGGTAGCCCAGGTTGGCCTGAAATTCTTCTCTGCCTCGTGAGTGTTAGGATTTTGAACACAGGCGGCCTTAGACTCAGTGTCCCTTCTGTGTTTCTGTCCGCCCTCTTTCACAGTGCCGGAGGCCAAGCCTGGAGTGTTTGCCCACGTTGGCAAGCACTCTACCACGCATTGCTGAATGGGTGGATACTAAGTGCACGTAGCGCTCAAAGTGCTGAAGAATGGCCCTGGAGAGCCCAGGACTCGTTCAGAGCCTGATCTCTTCTCGAGTACTAACTTATTAGATTCTCCTCCATTAGCTTTCCTCAAGCTGTTGCCCTGGGCTTTGGCTCTCTTCCTGCCTTCATTCTTAATCTCCTCCAGCCTCTCTTCTATAAGGGCACCCATGTTCAGCTCACATAGTATTCATAGCACTGAAGAGTGGTCTTCGTACTTAACAGACAGGTGTTACTTGAATTATTTGGAAAATGAATCTTTTAGATTTTACAAGGCGGGAGAATCTTTAATGACAATGCCTTTAATTAACCCATGTAATAATGCATTGTATTTTCATATGATTTATTAGTGTTAAACAAATAGTAACATTGTGGTTAGCCTGTACTGAAAGAAAAAAATTTTAGAACAGTATGGTCTAGTAGAAGGGTAAGAAAAGTGGTCATTTCTATTTGTAATAAGCAAGTGTGCCTTGGAACTGTCTCTCTTCCTCTCAGCATTCACTGTCTCTGCCTGTCTTCCATTGAAGCGCCCTTTGGTGCCGATTATTATCACCTGAGGTCAGGTGGAAAGAGCAGCTCACTTTTCCCACAATCACTAATTCATTAAAGTTAACAATGAAGATGTTGACAGAGTTCATTTATACAGTGACATGATAGCAGAAGTCATTTGTTTTTGCCTCTGCATTTTTCAAACTCATTATGAATTCCTCTCTAAAGACCAAAAATGACAAAAGACAGGTAAGTGTGTTCAGCATTGGGACCTGTAAGTAAATGGAGTATGAGCTAAAGCCTTTTGTTTCCTCCCATAGGGAATTATGCTGGTCTATGACATCACCAATGAAAAATCCTTTGACAATATTAAAAACTGGATAAGAAACATTGAAGAGGTGTGTATGGAAGGAAGGCGGCAAAGACCTTCTACGTGGTGGGCAGTGTGTTGCTTTCTTCTGGAGGTGGCTGATCCACTGAGGAGCAGAATGGACAGGCCCACCCTGTCTACTGGGGGGGGGACCCCAGATCTTCAATGGTGCTGGGTGGACTGCCCTATATAGATAGTGGGCAGAGGAGCATTTTCATATTTAAACTTAGGTCAGAGCTTGGACACAACATAATTTGGGTCCCTTTTTTAAACCTGAGGAAACAGGCAAGGAAGAAGTGATCTGCCAGTGTCCATACAGTGACCTGCCAGTCAAGACAGAGCCACAAACAAGATGACTGACTCCCCACTCTCTACCAGCAGAAATAAATGTGTTTGTGCAACTCCTTTGCCTTTTTAAACATTTTATCTTCTTTAGATTTTTGAGATTTGGGTTAGTTTCAGGATAGTTGGTACTAAGTTTTCTTTAAAACCTCCACAGTATTTCAGGGGAAAAAACAAAAACAAAACTGACTAGGAAATAACTTAGCACATTTGAATGAATCCATAGTTTATATTTTTAAATACTTCAGAATCCAGATTACTTTCTCTACTGGGTGAGTCAGTACTTTAGCATTTTTCTCTCTTTGACTAGAATGATTGTTTGAAAGTTTGACTGTTAGATAACCATAGATATATTTATCTTATGAGTTATGAGAATGAGTGTGAGCCTTCGGGGAAATGTTTGCACAAGCTCTGCGAAGGCTCTAAACTGAGGTAACTCTCCCTTCTATCTTTACTTTTCTCTGAATTGGGCCTTGTGTTGAATGAAAGATTGTCTTGTCGCTGAACACACTGCCGAGCTTCTGACAGGTTAGGATTTTTCCATTGAACTGCTGTGATCTTTCTCAGGCTGTTCTTACAATGCACTGTTTTCTCCCTGCAGCATGCCTCTTCAGATGTTGAAAGAATGATCCTGGGTAACAAATGTGATATGAATGACAAAAGACAAGTGTCAAAAGAAAGAGGGGAGAAGGTAAATTTGACCAGATGGATAATGGATGGAATGTACTCCATTCAACATTCATTTTCTGAGTATTGATTTATGTTTTTCAAATATCTGTTTTAATCCTTTAAGAACTGGCTATCAAACAGCAGTGAGATGTAGTCTATACTTGAACTGTAGGAATTAGTATTCAAATCAAGCCCATTTATCCCATCCGGTCATGACTCACCCCTAAAGAATCTGCTGGGAGATACAGATTGTCCTTTCTTAAGCTCCCTGCAGCTTTGAGTTTCTTTCTTTTAGATCTGTGTGAAAAGCTCAGCTTTGAAGTTAAAATAATTCAGTTTCGGAAAAAATATGCGAGAGTAGGTGAAATTTCAACCATAATCACTTTCCAATTCATTGTTTTTCTTGGATTTCAGTGTGGGTTAGCTGCAACTCATGAGGAGTAACATTTACAGGTGCCAGCAATGTCCTAAGTGTATAGAGCAAACAGTTATTTTTTTATGTATATTTGCTTCTGTGATATTTTTCTCAGTTCTTGAGAAGGTTTTCCTTTTTAAGTCTGAAACCTTTCTCCAGTGATAGGTGCAAAACGTGTTTTGTTTTTCAGTCTGACTATCAGTTTGCCCTTGAAAACCTTCACTTAATTTGAGTCGTGGTATGTGGACTAGGATTTTGAGAATAGATGGAAATGTAAAGGGAGTTCAGACTTGTTCCATTTCACAGAGCAGTTATTTAGAAGGGAAAGTTAGGACAGTCACATTGGAGAGACGAGATAAAGGGGTAAATGAATGGGGTAAGGGTGAGAGAACAGCTCATGTTCCTTCTTGTGTGTATTTTAGAGACCCACAAGTACAATGGAACACGTTTCTAACATGATGGAAGTCTACTAAATGCCTTGTCTGCCCAAGCCACTTCCACTAAATTTGATTTTCTCTTTTGTCTTTCAGTTGGCAATTGACTATGGTATTAAATTTCTGGAGACAAGTGCAAAATCCAGTACAAATGTAGAAGAGGTAAGAAACGTGTGCTGACTTGAAAGCCTTCTGTGTACTTTTTTTTATTTGTTTATTATATTATTTTTAATGTGAATGTTATACTTACATAATTGACACATCTTTTTTTAGAGACATCATTGTTATTATTTTTTAATTTAACTTTTATTAATTACACTTTATTCATTTTGTATCCCCCCATAAGCCCCTCCCTCCTCCCCTCCCGGTCCCACCCTCCCCCCTCCTTTTTGCATCCTGTGTACTTTTATGCCATGGGCTTTTACATGGGCTCTGCTTGCTGGATTTCTAGCATGCAGCCTCCACATGTGTTATGTTAAGATTGCTCAGTTAAGATTCCTGGAACAGAAGAGATACAAGTTCATTTTCAGTTCAGTGCAGCCCTTTGTTGGAAGTCGCAGACTGTCTGCTCAGTGAGCTATCACCCTTTCTAGCCTGTAGCAGACAAGCTGAATCCCTTGAATTAAACTTCTGTGTCTTGAATGGATTCCCTTTGTTTGCAAATTTGAAGTAGATTATGCACGACACTGCAATACTATGGCATTTAGTATCAATGAGAAAGTGTTTTCCATAGGATAGTATTAGTAAATTTCCATTGCATCAGTTGTTAAAGCCAAAGTATCGAGGCCGCTGGTGAGATGGCTGAGGAGTAGAGGAGCTTGCCAGGGGACCTGAGTGTGAGCTCTAGGGTTTATGTCCTCTGACTGCTGTGTTTGCACTGTTGCAAAGATATCCATACACACAAACACAATAAGGAAATAAAATGTAATAAATTTTTTAGAAAAAGTCATTTAAAGTTTTTAAAGAGTAAATTAATATTATACTTTTATGATCAATTTTTTAAAAATTAACAGAGAAAATATCACCAGTATTTCTACCTTTTGTGAAGAAAACCTGTTCCAGAAAACTCTGGGTGATCCCTTTTTTTTTTTTTTAACTCTTGTGTAGTAATAGGAGGTAGGTAATCCTGACGGTTTCCTAACCAAGCTTCAGTGTCTTAGATCCTTTTTTTTCTCTTTACCAAGACTAAATGATAATAGTCACTGGATACTAGTCAGAGATTTTTCTTTCTTTAAAATAACCAGCACTCATTCTTCAAGTTGGCTACTGAGTGTTAAGAAACAGGGAATTGCCGCTGATATATTTTCATAAGCATAGATAAAAAGAAAACAATGACAAAAAGAAAGTTTTCTTCTGCTCTGAAAGAATTCCTTCCATCCAAAGAGGGGAGTTTCCTATGCCAGCTCATGTAGTGCCCCCTCAATCACGGCCACAGAATGAATTTTGTAACTGTGGAAACAAAGTAAAACTGACAACAGATTTTTGAAAAGAATCAGTGGGAGAATTGGGTAGGATTTAGCTGAGTTTCAGGAACCAGCAGTTTTGAAGTATTAAAGCATGGAAGATTCTGCATAGTTAGGTATGTTCTCAGAAGAGGTCAGAAAAAAAAAGTGTAGATTTCTGTGAAGATAGACAGCAGAGCTATAGTTTAATACATACTTGTTCACTCACTTCTTAAAGTTTAGCTTTGTGTTGGATAGTTTTATGTCATCTTGACACAGCTAAAGTCCCCCGAGGAGAACTCAGTTAATGCTTTCGTAAGATCAGGTTGTAGACAAGCCTGTAAGGCATTTTGTCAATTAATGATTGATGAAGAAGGGCTTAGCCCATGGTGGATAGTGCCACCCCTGGGGGCTGGTGTCCTGGGTTCTGTAAGAGAGCAGTCTGAGCAAGCCAGGAGCAACAAGCCAGTAAGGAGCACCCTCCGTGGCCTCTGCATCAGCTACTGACTTCCCTTTGATGATCAACTGCGATGTAGAAGCCTAAGCTGAGTAAACCCTTTCCTCCCCAAGTTGCTTTGGTTATGGTATTTCATCATAGCAATAGGAACCCTAATTAAGACAAATGTTATCTGAGCCAGAGGTTGGACCCTTTTTCTAGGGGAATAGGGTGGTTTAGACAGAGCCCCTGTCCTGTTTTTGGTGTATTGAGGAAGCTACCCAAAATTCAGTGTGTGCCATATTAGGAACTTGTGGCAGATATTACGTGCATAAAATAGTTGATGAATGAATGACAATGTGACAACCCTGGAAAATATGATGTAACTGAAAAAGCCAATAGCATGTACATGCTAAGATTTTTTCTATATGCTATTTTTTCAATTAAAAACCCTGAAGTGGTATATAAATAATAAAAATTTTACATTTATATTTTTAAATACAATTCTTTAACAATTTTTTTTTTGTTTTACCTTTAGGCATTTTTTACACTTGCACGGGATATAATGACAAAAATGAACAGAAAAATGGTTTGTATCATTTACAGTTTTATTTCCACGATACAGCCTTCTAGTTTGGCGCTCAACAGAATAGAGAGCTCACATTAAACGCATTAAAGTCATTCTTATACCTTCATGTGATTGCACCACGGTTCTCATCTCTCTGGCTTTCTGTCTCAGCTCTTTTCTCTGGCTCTTCAAGTGGTAGTTGTTATGATGTATTTAAAAATGCCACACATACAACAGATCTGATGTGAAAGAGGCTTATTTGGGGGAAGGGGAGGTGAAGGGAGTTAGGCCATGTGGGCCATGTGGGTAAAGAGAAAAAGAGACAGACAGAGGCAGAGGCAGAGAGAGAGGAAGGGGGAGGGGCGCCCCGACAGAGAAAGGTGAGGCTGAAGCAGTGAGGGCATGAGAGAGCGACGAGGTGGCAGGTTGGTACTTTCATATCTGGTGTGCAGTTTCTGCCAGGTGCGCCTGCCACACACCTGGTAGGCAGCACATGATGACCTCATAGGTTACTAGGCAACCCAGAAGCAGGCTGGCTGTAAGCTAACAAGTAGCTAATTGAATTTTTATCAGAATAGTGAAAATAATAATGGCAAAATTGCTTTTTTCATAAAATTATTTAGCTCAGTTTTCATATAATTCATCTTTGTATTTCTGTAATGATGACCTTGGAGTTGCTCAAATTGGCCTCAATTGAAACTATCAGTGATGAATCTTTAGGACACCCCAAAGTTCATTTTAATGTGGGACCTGATGAAATTATCTCCCTTCTATTATCAACTCTTCCCGCCTCTTAGTGGGTTGTCTGCTGTCTTAGCGCTGTCTCTATCACTCTCCTTGACACCCTACGGGCTGTGGTTGAAATTGTTTTGAACTAGATTAGGGCATCCTCCATAACACACAATTAAAACAAAAGTGCTAGATAATCCACCACTTGTAAAGAAGACAATGCTGTGACTTAACTATTCCTCTTCTTTCTAGTGAGCTCAGGTGGGAGTGTTCTAGCGTGCACTCCCAACATGTGCTTTTACTTTGTAGATTAATTGGGGTCAAACCATGAAATTTTGGTTTCTTTAGAAACTTCATATTTTGTTTTTCAGAATGACGGCAATTCTTCAGGAACAGGCGGGCCAGTGAAAATAACAGAAAACCGGTCCAAGAAGACCAGTTTCTTCCGCTGTTCGCTGCTTTGATGAACTCTTCATTTCTGAGAGACAGCAGTACACCTCGAGGGCGCTTCCCTGCTTCTCTGAAAGCGCAGGTTACACAGCCTCAGAGTCACCTGCCTGGCTGCTGCGGAGAGCACCACGGAACTCTAGACCTCTCAACACAGAATGCCAAGTGGATTCCAGCCTCACGGCCTAGCAAAAGAACGGGCTCCTTTCTTCAGACATGGAAGCAATGATGTGGAGACACACACAGGACCTAACTGGTTTTTCCTTGTTTTACTGCCTGTCCTGGAAGCTGCTATCTTTCTTTGCACATGAGTGTCAGCCTTTCCCTGGTACAGCATAATCTTAGACTCCTAATAGAGCACTTTAGTGGCATGAAGTTCTAGACTTACATATTTGAAGATGTTTAAAGAGAGCAGAGCATTAAACAGAGGTTGATCTACTAAAATTAAAGGATGGTTGGCCTGCATCATACGGCCAAAGTTCTTCTTTTGGTAGCATTCATTTGGTAGTGTTCTTAAAAATCATTAAATTTTCATAACATTTCAGATTCATAAAAATGGCTATCTATTCACCAGAGGCCATGTCATCTTCATCTTTTCAGGTGGTTATCAGCCTTGCTCATCCCTGAGTTCTGTATCCCTTTCAAAGTCAACTGCCACTGCCTCCTGTCTAGAAACAGGATGTAGGAAGCACTCCAGTCTCACTGTCTCTGAGGGTTATATTTGCTGTCCCTTCTGCTTGACTTCCTGTCATTACTCATTTGTCTAAAACCAGTAATATATGCAAGCTCTGCTGTGTCTGTCTGTGAACTTCATAACCTGAGATTTCACATAGGGAGAGAAATAGTCACTAGGGGTTAATTTCCACATCCAGCTGTGGTCTTGTCACATCAGAATATGTAATATATTCTTTCTGAGTTTCACCCATTTATTCTTATTACCTAATTCTTAACCACAATCCCTGTCTGTGAGAGGTAACAAGGATTAGATTTAGATTTTAGTTTGCAGAAAACATACCTATACAGAGAGAGAGAGTAAACATGTTGGTATAGTTTTAAAGGATAGCTATTGGTCATGCTGAAATTAACAACTTTTTGTTCTGTGTGGGGTTAAAAAAAATAAAGGTAATTAGACTAGTACATCCTCCAGAAATCTTGTCTTTTCATTAGAGAACATGTGATCCAGGTTTCGGCTTTCAAATAGCCATTGCTGAGTATATATGACCGAGCCCTATGCATGTAGGTTGGTCGTTAGAGAAGTGATATGGCCATCCGGCCCAAAGCCAACCCAAGGCTTCACTGCCTCTCTCACTGAATGCTAGAGTTCAGAAGTTTCTTCTGTGGGTGAAACCACCACACTCTGTATGTGTGTGTGTGTGTGTGTGTTGGGGGGGGGGGTATTTTAGTGTTAACCTTTGTGCCAAATACAGATGATCATGTCACTGCTGTTGTTGTAGCCTTCCATGTCTAAACACAGAGGGCATAAAAACAGGTGACAGCAGCAGTCACCACCCACCCCTTGAGCTGTCCCTAAAGAATTGGAGATGGAAGTGGACATGGATAGCTGGTTACACAGACAACTACGCTTCAGATTCAGATCTGTGGCTTCAGTGCTTGGGCCAGTCAGGGTTTCCCATCTGTTGGAACACTCAGAAGCATTCCAGTGGCTGTACGCATACCAGAGTTGTTTTTGGTGGATACCCTGACTTTACTATTGACAAACTTGAGCCTTTCCTTCTTTTTCCCTAGTTACCTGTTGGCTTAAAGTCACATATTACTGTCCCAGTGTAAGCAGTTCTCTCCTTGAGAACTGATTATAAGTCTAACATCTTCAAATTAAATACATTTTGAAAAGAACCTGTATTTTCTTAGAAATGTAAAAACTTTTTTCTGGAAAAAAAAAGTTCAGGCAGTTACAATGTAAAAAACTGCTTTGCAAACAGCATGAGCTGTGACACCATGTGCGAATGTAATTCTCTTCACAGTTACCATGACTGAACGCTTTGTTTCTATCTCAGGGGTTGTCCGCAAACCAAAACTGACATGTTCTGTGGTCAGTTTTTGTTTTTTAAACAGAATGCTTTGCTTTTGATTTCTTCACTCCTCTGTGTCTTTTATGGGTTAATAACTAGTCTCCATGAACTTCTCGTTGAAAGAGCCCGTAAATGTTAGGTGAGTCTAAAAGTACTCTTTGAAGTAGCAGCAAACTGGGAGTATATCCTCTGTTATATAGAAACAAATTGTCCTTGCTATTTTCTTACATTTAGCTTCTCTAAATTGTATATAATTTGAGCTCAGGCCATAGGAAATTCACTTTCTGCATGGTAAAAACAATCCAACAAATATTCTACTTTGCTTAGTAATGTACATATGGTGCATTATTTTTTCTATTTGTAGATGAATTTAGCAACAGATAATTGTCTGTTCCCTGCTGAGACTAAAGAAATCTAGGTGTGTGTGTGTGAGAGAGAGAGAGAGAGACGGAGAGAGAGAGAGATAGAACATTTCTGTGGTCTTACAGATAGGGTACATAGAGATTTTTGCAGCAGTATTAGTGGGTCGGTGGCTGCACTTTATTATTATTGTGCTAATTTTTGACAACGACTGGACTCGAAATTTTCCGATAGAGCCTGGGGTCTCAGACAGTGAAATGTGCTGTAACAGTAGCATGTGAAGCAGCTGGTTGTAAAATATTTCACTGGGAACTTATTCAGACAGATGATGATGAGGCGATCTGCCTGTGCATCAGTTGGTACCACGGGGCCTCTTTCTGTTCACGAGGACATTTTATGTAGTCTTTGTTATAAATTTCCTGATGACTATAGTCTTTACTTTGAAGAACTTTTTTTTAATTATACCTCATTTAGCTAACTAAAATTCTAATAACTGGTAGAAAAACAGTGAGTATCCAACCAAGTTTAGACTGCATGTTTTGTTTTGTCTTGTTTTGAACTGAAGGAAAAGAGAAGTATGATACCTTTGTTTTGAATAAAGCATGTACATCCATACCCAGTAGCATACAAAAAAAAAAAAAAATGACTGCCCTGTCCATTAATGAATTTACTTGTGCAATATACATGGATTGTTCTGTGGTTTACAAGTAAGAAATTGTAACTGCGTTTTTCAGGCTCCAAATTAGGGCTTATGAAGTGTCTTCCTATGAGCAGTAAAAGAACAAATTAAGCAGACTTTCTTTTCAAACTTGTGACTTAGATTCTGTTATAAATATAGTTCTTAATCTCTAAAAATGAGATTCTAAGCCTAGAATTTTAAAACCACATTTCATTATGTTGGTTTACTGATCTCAAAATTTCTACAACTTGATTTTTTTTTTTACTTGAAAATAAAAAAACTAAACAAAACAAAGAGACCTTTCTTTATCTTTCTCATCACATCCAAAGACAGAGAGGACTGTGTGAAAATGAGATCCCTTGATTCAGAAGAACATAGCAGGCCAGTATATACTAATAAAATTTATGGATGTCATGTTCATTAGGAGAAAAACTAAACCACTGAGTACAGAAATGAAAATCAGCAAGCACTTGTTTTAAGGATTTTCTAAATTTTTCTTTGTATCCTGAAATATGTGCCATATGCCAAGAACTTACAGAACTTCGTTTTTCATCTTTGTACTTTTTTTTAAAGTAAATTTATGGTCATTCATTGCTCTGGCCTTACAGATGGGTTTGTCTTGACTGTTTACAGCTGATGCTGTAGTTTCTCTAATGCAAAATGCCGTGAACTGTTTTAAGTAAAGTCATGCCCGCCTGTTGTGTGAACTGTGGAGTTTCTTCATAGACTTTTTCTTGTGTGCTTAAACATATTTTATTTTGCTTCAGTGGCTTACTGTGGAAAGCTCCCATGGGTAGTATGATCCTGCCATCTGGCTGGTCTGTTGAAGCCGGTTCATTAACTGTACTGATACTCATGCTATGTTTTTTAAAAATGGATTTTATTCCAGGTGAACCTTTTTTTTTTTTTACAATAATGTTCATCTAAAATAAAAACTACATGATGAAATGTTCACGACTCTTAAGTGGATTGTACATTTTAGAATATATATGAATTTTAAACCATTTTAATTGGTCTATGTTCATTTTACATGATAGTGAGTCTCAAAAGAACATTTTAAGGTAAGCATATAAGGTACTTCAAGCATATTACCTCCCTGTACTGTACTCTTCTGTCTTCCCATCTTTTCCCTCCCTCTTCCATTAGTCCTCTTTATTCCCTTAGAGAGTTGTCATTTATATAAACTCTAGGATCCCTAAATTAGGGGAAACATCTGATATTTACCCAAGACTGACTTAATTCTCTTCATATGAGTATCTTTATATTCATTTTCTTGCAAATAATGTTCTCTGTGGCTGAAAATATTTGTGTATATATGCCACATTTTTTTCTATCCATTCCTTTGTCGTTGGGCACCTAGGTTAGTTAAATGACTCAGCTACTGCGAAGAGTACAGCAGTACACATTGATATGTCTCTGTGATAAACACCGACTGTCTTCGTGATACATTGACTTAGAGTCCTTCAGGTAGCTGGTCATAAAGAATCACCGCATTAACTTCCATAGTTGACATTTCCTCAACAGTGTGCAAGAGTTCCCTTTTGTCCACGCCTTCCCGACAGATTTTAGACAGAATTTAGACAGGTTAAGGAACAAATGAAAAATAAACAAATGAAGGTGGTAACTATGGGGTTGGCAAGATGGTTCAGTCAGTAAGGGCACTTGCCATTAAGCTTGATGACCTGAGTTAGATCCTGGAGCCACATGACAGAAGGAGAGAACTGATTCCCACAAGTTATCTTTCGATTTCCACACAGACATACACACAAATAAATGTATAAAAATGAAACAACCTAAAAAGACTATGGGCCAATCTTTTGTGTTGCTGTACTTCTTTCTGAGACAGGCCTTACAATTTAGAACAGCCTGGCCTGAAAGCGAGATCCTACTCCCCCGAATGGCTCTGGGGCCAGTGATATGGCTGAGCAGATAAAGGCACTTCTGTCGCTCCTGATAATCTGAACTTGATTCTGGGCCCGAGATGGCGGAAGGAGAGAACTGATCCTGGAGAGTTGTCCTCTGGTTTCCACGTGGCAAGTGTGTGCATGCATGAACACACACTACATAAAAGATAAATAACAATTAAAATTATTTTAAAGTTTTGCTTTCATTTCCCACTCTTCAGACAAGATCTTACTTCTTGTCCCCCTCTCCCAAGTACTGTGATTCCAGGTGTGTGCCACCACACCAGGCTTTACCATGCTTCTAAAACGTTTGAAGTAGCTTTAATGGAGATGTACAGGTGCTGGTTATAATAGTAATGAAATCATTAAAGCACAGGGGGAAGAATCTTATTTTGAAGCTAAAGAAGAAATTATAACGACACAAACATGGACACAGAAGAACAATTGCTGTAACTAAATATTAATCTAGCCCTATCACCCTAGGACTCAAGTAAAGCCTGAACATACTAAATTACCTTTTGATCTGAACACATTTGTCGAATGGAAGTACGGTAAATGGAAGGTTTATCGCAGGGCATGGTGGCTCATGCCTGTAATCCCAGCACTAGGAAAACTCAAGCAGGAGAGCTGGATTACACAGCAAGTTCAAGACCAACCTGGAATATAGAACGAGGCTTTGTCTCAAAAAAACTTTAATAAAATATGCAGAAAGTTATTTATATTCAAGACACAAATATATTATGCTTCTGTGGAGAAATCTCTGCTTGGAGCTGAAGTAGCCGAACTGCACTGATAATTTTGATTCCAGGTCAATATAAAACATTCTTACCTAACGGTGAACCATTCTGCACTATTGTCTGTACATTAGTTTTGACAGGATAAGACAGTTTAAAAATGAAGTATTCCAGCTGGGTACGGTGGTGCATGCCTGTTATCCCAGCACTCAGGGAGGCAGAGGCAGGTGGATCTCTGTGAGTTCAAGGCCAGCCTGGTCTACAAAGAAGTGTCCAAGGCAGCCAAAGCTACACAGAGAAACCCTGGCTTGAAAAACAAAAGTATTCCAGACGAGCTCTTAAGAGTACTTGCTGTTCTTCCAGAGAGGACTTATGTTTGGGTCCTCAAACCCACATCAGGTGGCTCACAACTGTCTGTATTTCAGTTCATGAGATCAGATGTCTCTGGTCTCTGTGGGCACCTGCCCTTACATGCAGATACCCACATGCAGACGTACACACCTACACATAATTAACAACAATAAAAATAAGGCCAAGTATAGTACCACATGACTTCAATCTCAGCATTAAAGAGGCAGAGGCAGGTAGATCTTTATGAGTTCAAAGCCATCCTGGTCTACATAGTGAGTTCCAGACCACCAGCACTACCATGAGACCCTGTTTCAAACTAATAATAATAGTAATAATAAATCTTTTTAAAAGAGAAAAGTATTTAGTAGAATAAATGGGCTGTAAATGTGAAGGTTAAAGGTGGCAAAGATGACGTTCCCATAAGAAATAGTTAATTTATTTAAAGACCTTATTTTCAGAAGGCATAAGCAAAATGCCTTCACTGGTTCCCAGCTTTTTCTACCAACCTGTCTTTATTGAGGCTTTCTGAGAATTATTTATGATAGCTGCACTAGTCATTTTTCTCATTGCTGTGACAAAATGCCCAACCTGAAATAGTTTCAGAGAGCAGTGGTTTATTTTGGCTTACAGCTGTTGAGGGGCTTACATTTCATTAGGGTGGGGAAGGCACAGCAGGAGCAGCTACCACAATGCATCCACAATCATGAAGCGAACGATGAACACAGATTGAACTGGGTTACAAGACCTCAAGGCCCATCCCGAGTGAACTGCCTTCTCCATCAATGCTCTACCTCCTGAAAACAACTTTCCTCAACATTGCTGCCAATTGGGGATCAAGTTTTCAAACACATCTGCCTAAAGGGGACAGGTCACATTCAGACTACGGCAGTAGATATTAAAGAATGTATAGGTGTGCCAGGTTTAGTCTTCAAGATAACTCATGAGGAATTGTCACTGAACATGAATAAAGATGTATCTTAGCTATGAATGACCAGGGAGCTTTATAACCTTTATTTCAAGCCTCTCAGAAATCGTTAAATTAATAGATTTCAGATGCTTCTATGTTTCATTTCTAAAATTATTCTATTCCTTGAAAAAGTAGTGAGTTTCTTCTAGACCCTGGGAAGTAACAAAGTCTTTTCCCTCCAAAAGCTTACATTTAAATAGGAAGACAGATGCGCCAGTGAAATGGACTTGTGACTAAGCATATAGCGAGGTGATGTTAATGTTGTTATAGGGATAGCCTCATTTCAAAGGGTTTAAACAATTGTTTATTCTGGAGCCAAATCTGAGTGATCTTGGCCTGGGAACACAGATTTGGGTTGCCCCAAATACTGTGTGTTAACATGGAAAATGGGTACGTGAAGTTTTTACAGTTACAAAACAAAGTAATAAATCAAGGCCCTTTTCAGATACATTAGTGGAAACGTCAGGTAAGTGGGTCGCTGAGAAACAGGGACATCTCTGCTGCAGGCCTCAGTTGTTGCCAGCTGATGACATTCTTAGCTTTTGGGTTGGTGAGTAGTCACGTGAGAGTCGCAAGGACATTAAGGCAGGTGCAGAGATGGCCGATACATAGCCATTAAAGCAGCTGGATAACCTGAGATAAGTTGGCTCTGTAGCCACAACATTACAACTTTCCATAATCGTGAAGTTGTAATTAATCAATATCAACCTTGTAGAATCTTTAACATAGCTGTGGTTGTTTTTCCTGAAATTGAATTCATACATGCTGAAAGAATGCCTTAAAAAAAACTTTAGTTTTCAAACGGGTTCCTGGCCGGGAAACCAGATTGTCAGAACAATTCATCAGTATTTCATCCCTTTTCCATCGGGAAAGATTCTATCGCCTGGATCATACCCCCCAGTCTAGATTTTTACATCTGGTGGAGCACGACATTCCTGCAACTATGTGCATGGAAAAATGTACTTCAAAAATACTTATTTTAAAAGGACTCTTGCCCCTGTCCGGTTTACCTCAGTTGACTGTTAGCACAAAAGTGGGCTAGTGACCTCCCCTAGGCCATGTCACAGCCGGCCGGCACAAGTGACAATGTGTGAGAGGGCACTGAACACATCTTGAAGTCTCCGGTGTGGCACGCTCTGAACAAGGATCTGCAACGCTTCCGGGTCTGAGGCTGGGTGCAGCTCATCGGAACCTCTGAGGTTTAGGCGCTGGACGCTCCACACCCAAATTCCCGCCCAGCGCGGTCCGCAACTTTCATTGCTCCAGGAAACCATGCCCAGCCCGCTCCGACAGCACGCGAAGCCCCTCGCGGCCCCGACCCCGGAGCGCCGAACGCTCGCAGAGCCCCTGGAGGCCCCCGCCCCAGTTCTGGCTGCACGCGGCGCCCCTCGAGGAACCGCCGGTCTGACCGCCTACGGAGCTTCTCGAAGTCCCCGCACAGGTTCTGTCAGCACTCGATCCCCTCAGGAAACCGCCGCCCGATCCCCGCAACGCCGTTCGCTCGCTCAGTTCCCGGAGCGCCTCCTGAAACCACCTCCCGAGCTTCGCCTCCGCGCCCTCCTTTGACTGACCGCTGAGCATCACCACGCTCCCTCTCCAGAGTTCCGCCCCACCCCCGGTCCTGCCCGGCCCTGCGGCCTCTCGGGGCCCCGCCCCCTGGGGTCTACCCTCCGCTCGGTCCAGCCTCCCAGGGCCTCGAGGCCCCGCCTTCCGCTCAGCCCCGCCCCCCACGCTGACGAGCCCGGGAGCACCCTGAG